CAGCACACTTGACAAATTGCCAAGCGGCATCGACAAGACTCGCCGCGAAATAGCATTAGCAATGATGCAGAGTAACAGCCGAGCCGTGTTTTAGTAATTGCCAACGATTACATGCACGAAAATTCCCCGGACCATTATTGTAAGTCACCGTACTGTATTGCATCCAGACGCCAGAGACCCAGCTGCGCCAGGCCCTTTCCTTTCCCAGCTACAAAGCTCTCTCCACAACTACCACAGACCCCCACATCACTTCAAGACTCATCGGGCGTTCGCTTTTTCTCTCTCTCACGGATATTCATAACTGCCAAAACCTGACTCCAAAACACTTAAAAACGTTATTTATAAGATTGACTGTATTATCAATACGCACTGCGAAGCAGAAAGAGATGTTAATGCAAGATTATTTTGATCTAGGCCAGCATCAAGAGCAAAATGCATCAGTGCACCAGCGCCCACCTGCAGCAATAAGGGCATCCAGGAATTGATGGAAATTTGGTAAGCACACAGGCAGTTAGTACCCTAACTTGGAAAGAATTGGCAGTACCACTGAACCTGTTTGAAATAACGGATGAAATTTTTCACTGCCACGTTACGTTCGTCGTCGGACATTCTGTGCACCTTGTCTGCCTCTTCAACTACTTGTGCCATGTTCACACCTGAAAGATAGCCGCAGAAAAACAACAACAGCAAGCTCTATGGATTTAGCCGCAGAAACACAGTAAAAGTAAGCTCTATGAAGACAATGAGCTTCCTTAGCAGCGGCGGAGATTAAAGAGATGGTGAAGGACGGGACAGACGAAGAAAAACAAAAGCCCTCATTTTTTGAATACTAACATTGCAGTGATTTAATCGACTGCACTCTGCACTTACAACATGCCTCACTATTTCTTGCAGTTCACGGCGCCGTACTGCAGCTATGCATTTGGAAACTTTTCCAGCTGCTCTGACCGATGTTGCATCATCTGTCGCTCAACCTGCTCGCGATCCTTGCGTTCAGTTTGTCGTCGGAAGGGATTCTCAACCCAACGATTCCCCTGACAGAAGCACTCTAACAACGCTTAGACCCTTCGAGATGACACTGGTGTGCATATCGCATCATCACCTCCTATGTCACGCTGAAGTACGAAATTACCAAAAATGTAAGATATTCCTTAAAATCCTACTAAAACTTTCTCACCGTTCTTCTCTTTTCCTCAGGAAATCCGCGACTCAGGCCACTTCTTCCTAGATCTTATGACTGCTTTTTATGAACTTCACGCAATCTCATCACTCTGTCCCCTCAATTTACTTTGATCCTAGTTTTCAAAATAGAACCCAATCAGTGTCACTGCATTTATCCGTCAAGTTAGCAAGAGTCTGTACAGCTCAGATAAGAGAACTGCAAAGGACAATCGAAGTGATACATCCAACGCTAATCTACTGTTGACCGCAATTCATATTATGTATCTGAATAGGACTTTTTGGGTGGATGCCCAATTTAATTTGAAACTTCTCTTTAACAGTTCATAATTTACGAGAAAAAAAGAAGGGAAGGGGGCATTTCACGTAACTGAGTTGATATTCCACCAGGGCGCAAATGTGCAGAATAATTTTTTGTTAAGAAGGAAGACGATTACCCAAGAAAAGCGCAGGCGTGAGTTAGCCCGCCTACACCGATGGATCCAGCCTTTTTTTCTTCTGCTGTCCTTCAGTAATTTCGAGGGCCTAACATCAACAGTCCGAGCGATCCTGTGAATCGCCATATCACATGTAAACTGAACAAATTGGATCAAATAAATCAGGCTAGGCGGACACGGCAAAGTGGCGAGTACCGAAGCTCGAGGGTTTAATAACCAACCACTCTAAGATTCGACCATTCGGCTCGATGGTAAACTGATATTGGCGCAAAGTGGGGGAGTCGATGTTTCTAGGCAATCACTGAAATAGCCATCTGCAGTCCTGCCAGGCAGCAGGTGTTGGCACCATTTTTGGGCTCCTGCTGGCACATTTTTGCTTGCCAAAGAGGATGGATATAGAGGAGCATTTGGAGTCGATGCTTCGTAATTAAAATCGAAGAAATGTACACAAAGACACTACAGAAAAAAAGGATGTGAGTGACTTACTGCTTAACTGCTGCAACCATCGCCACATACAGTGTGGCATGTAAAAGGCCAATGCTTGTGCTGCCAAGAGAAATGGTACCCACTGCAATGGCATTCAGAATTACTTAAACAAGGATGAAGGTATACTCAGTAATGTGTTTTACATCAGCATTTACCCGATTTATTAAGGCATATCACCAGTTCTACAGTGTCAAGATTTAGTTTCATGTGTCTCGCCCCGCTTAAAAGAAAATCCTTCCAGTTCATCTACTTTAAATCCCTTTACACTCATCGTCTGCAGCATCTGCATCGTGGATAATTGCGTCCTTGAAAGACGTGTGCCGAGTGATTAATTGGCTAGGAGTTGCGCAGGAGATAGTAAAACTATGCTCTCCGCCAGAACAAAATGATCATCCATGTTCGCGGGGGCTAAACAATCAGCAAAAGAAATGAGGGCAGTGTTCCTCAAAAACATGCAGATGCCGCTCGCCAAACAAAATTCAGGGCTACTTGCTTTCCGTTGCATAAAAAAACAAAAATATGCGACGAAATGCAAAAATATTTCTGTGATCGAGAATGAAGGCAAGAAACAGCTTTCTTCAAAAAAAAGTAACACAGATAAACGCGAGCAGGAAAAGAGCCCAGGCTGGAACGCACCAGGCGGGTCGGTGCGATTATGCGTTTTTGCACTTTTCGTGCCGCAGCAAGATCGCAAGGAATCACAGTAGCTAACCCTGTGACATATTGGCCTTCAAAGTTCGGGAAGTTAATTGCGCAGTTATATGGTATGTCAGATGCAGATGGCGACTTCAGTGACCCGACAAATGGAAAGTTGCTGGTCCACGAAAAAGGCCGCACTAGAAGAGTTAAATTTGAAATTTGAAATCTGCTTTTTTTATCCCTTTTAAATGGAAGAGCCACTTAGTA